TGATCTAAGAGACAGATCTGTGATATTCTCTGTAAATTTGCAGCTTTATCTCAATGCGACCTCCATCTAACATCAACAGATAATGTTAAATTATCGTCATTTGTTTTTCCATTATTTTGTATATGGAATAATCCGTAACAGTCATGCCTAACCACTTAGAAAAACAGGAGATGCAGCTCAGCAGTAATTCACTTATGCAACTTGCTTCAGGGGATTGTTGTGAAAGCAATGTGGTTTTATTTGCTATAATCTGTTAAAACACAAACTGTTCCCTTCAGGCAACAGTGTTTGTGTCAAGTAACTGAAAACATTAGAATCTGTTTCACTGCATCTCAGTCCTTTTATTTACATGTATCAGGGTTGCTCACTGGGTTACGCTCTCGCTTCCAAACCAGAAATTCAGACGTTCAAGCCCTATTCTCAGACTTGAGTATACAGACTTGGCTGATGCTTTTGTGTTGTGCCGAGGAAGCATAGATTCAACAGGGGAACACCTTCCAGAGGAGATGCTTTTTAGGTGCAAGTTATATTTGAAGAAAAGCAAGAGCCTGATGTCTTCTCTACCACTAATTCCTCAACTAAAACCATGAAACCAAAATCTTTCTTCCCGCCTCTCCCATTTTTCCCTGTCATTGCACTTGTTCAAATCTCCAACTTTTCTGAGGTCTGATGGAAGGGCGCCTACCTGAAATACAGGTGGAATTGACTGTGGTAAGCAGGGGGCTTGTTATCCAAATGAAACCTTGTGACACCCATGCTGACCTGATCTCTGACACCCTAGATATATGGCCAGTATCCAAAAGAAGTGGCCACTGCCAATACTGTCCTGGGACCTAGTCAGAGAATTAGGCTTGGAGAGAGCTAGGTAAAGTGAGATGGAGTTTCCAAGGATCGACATGCTGACTGAGGTGGGGAGGGAGATCTAAAACAAAGCAGACAGCTGACTTCCTTGGGTGCCATTCCCCAACCCTCAACCTTCCAGTGGCATGGTCTGTTAAGTGAGCGCCTAGTGCATTTCAGTAAAGGCTACCACTGCCACCAGAAGGGTGCCCTCCCTTGATAATGTGACTTCCTCCCAGCCCAGCAAGATGAGGCTGCCAATGGACCTCCAGGTGGGAAAGCTGCCTGAAAAACTTCCTGTCCAGAATTCATTGCAGCAAAGCTGGAAAGCTGTGGCATTTCCATCAAACCCTTCTACTAAGATTGAACTGACCCCTGCCTCTGAATCTGCCTTTTGGGGTGTATTAAATTCTGCCTGTTAATTTTTTTTTCTTGCTCCATCAGTGTTGCCTGAGTATTTCCAGCAATTTCTGTTGAGAGATTATACAGCTGTTTATTTTATGGTCACTTGTGGGACCTTGCTCTGTGCCATATTAGTTGGCAAGTTTATTCAAAAGTAGTTCATTGCCTGCAACTGTGAAATGTTATAGTGATGAAGCTAATCAGTTTGTCTCAAATCTTTTGTTATTAGGCTTGAGTTTCCATTAATTGTTTAACAGAGAGATGACTGAACATGGTCAATATATATTTCAACACAAGTTGACTTCCTGATCTTGTTATGGCTACAATGGTGTGGCCAGTTGCTGTGAGAGATTTCCCTGGTGGAATAGAAAAATCTTGGAGAACTTCCCTGTGGCTCACTCCAGTTTTACTGATGAAAGCTGCTTTCTTTAGTCTCTACCATTTGTAGGAACATTCCAGGAGACCTGCAGCTTCAGGAATGCATATTCCTGGCATAATGTTCACCAAACACTGGATGACCTCTAATGGATTAAACGCATCATATGCAATAACACGCCATCCTCTGCTTTGAACAGTTTCCGTTATTCTTTAACGGAATGTTCCAAAGTTCCTTGATTTGAAAGCAGCTAATTATTGTCATACCAGCTGTTAGATTTTTGCTTGGCCATTTCAGTTTCCAGTGAAGAAATCACATATGGCAAAAACAGATTATGCTCGGATATTAGGACAAAGCTTGAAGTTGAATTTGCATCATTCTTGACAAAGTTCAAAACATCTCATTTCAGATTTCTGATAATCCAATCATCCAGAAACCATGCTCTATTCTGGATGTTATTCAGGAGGAAATTAAAGTTCTTGGAAACCTAAAATAGCTGTTCTAAAGATTAACATTAAGGCAAAGATAGATTTTTGAACAGTAAAGGGATTAAGAGTTATGGTGAGCAGGTAAGTGGAGCTGAGTCCATGAAAAGATCAGCCATGATCTTATTGAATGGCGGAGCAGGCTTGATGAGCCAGATGGTCCACTCCTGCTCCTATTTCTTATGCTCTTATGTTCTTATTATTCACTGTAACTCTGAATGATCCAAATTGGCATGGTTAATCAAATTCAGTCAGGAATTTACAAAGTGAATAGACTAACTAGTTGGGGGTTAAATCCATCTAAAGTCTAAATAGAAGTACCAAATGTACCTGAAATGTATCTAGATAGGCCTGCAGTTACATTTCCAACTTTCACCATAATTAGCTCCGGGCGACAGTCTAAGATGGAACGGTAAAGAAATAGTTGTTGACTTCAAGCCTGTGTCTATTAGCAAAATCAGAAATAATCCAGTTCAAAGCAGCCAATGTCTCAAATCTCAAGCTCAACAGTCTTTTTTGTAAATACTGGTATATTCCTTGCACTCTGATCTTCATCTACTCAAAAGAAATTATTAGTTAGCTGCATGGTGCACTATGTTGGAATTTCATGCACTTGAAGGGGTCATCTATAAGGAGAGGCTGGAAAGGCTGGGATTTTTTTACCCTGAAGTGTTGGAGGTTGAAGAATGACCTTATAGACATTTATGAAGTCATGAGAGACATAGATAAGGTAAGATCTTTTCCCCAGGGTAGGGGAGTCCAAAACTAGAGGGCATAGGTTTAAGGTGAGAGTGGAAAGATATAAAAGGCAAAAACAGAAATTGCTTGGAAAACTCAGCAGGTCAAGTGGCATCTGTGAAGAGAAATCAGAGTTAATGTTTCAGGTCCAGTGAAACAGAACCAGTCGGACCTTGCTCCATGCCATATTTATAGACAGTTCTGAGGAAGAGTCACTGGACCTGAAACATTAACACTGATTTCTCTCTACAGATGCTGCCAGAACCGCTGACCTTTTCCAGCAATTTCTGTTTTTGTTTCTGATTTTCAGCATTCACAGTTCTTTTGATTTTTATTTAAGAAATGAAAGGTACCTGAGGGACAACCTTTTCACCCAGGATGGGGTATTTATAGAACGAGCTGCCTGAGGAATTGGTAGAAGCGGGTACAGTCACAACATTTAAATATTGTTTGGACGGGTACATGGATAGGAAAGGTTTAGAGGGATATGGACCAAATACAGGCAAATGGGACTAGTTCAGTTTAGCAAACCTGGTTGGCACAGACAAGTTGGGCTGAAAGGTCTGTTTCTGTGTTGCATGACTCTTTGACTCTAAGTGCATGTATCTATCTCAATAATCCCTTGCCTTTGTGTGAAACCTGGGCATAAAATTGGAATGAGAATAAAAGCCTTGCTATTGGAGGTCCATAATTCTGATGTTCAGTTGACCTTCAGTTTACATAGCCAATGTCAAAAATAAACAGGGCTTCTATGTAATAATTAAATAAAATCAGAGCCCCAGCACCATTTTTGTTTGAACACATGTTGTTCCTCAACCTGCTCATGGGCATGGGTGAGATAGGCATTTCTAGCAGGGTTGCAAGGGAGATCTGGAAGCAGATAAGGCGACCATTTTTCCCTTGTCTTGGGAGTGTTAGGCATTATGCATCCTGCAGCCTAAAATAAGGTTATTTTCCAACTTTGCTGCTGATAGCTTTGGTGCTATTACCCTTGAACTGCTGGTATGTGTTGACTGGATCCCCTGTTGTATTTCAAAGCAACCCCAAGTGATCAACTGCCTATTAGCAGCGTGTTTAATGCTGCCAGCTTGCCTGGTTTGAGTATGCGAAAGCCAAGCAATAAAATGGATTGCACCTCCTTTCAGCGTCAATGGGTTGACAACTCATCCTCCCACTGACTCAATACATCCTAAAGATGAAAAATGCCCCAAAGTTGTTTGAGTCAGGGCCTAAATGGGCACAAAATCAGGAACAATGTTTTGCAAAATAGGCTGGGAGATGTACTCCTGAACCGTACGTGATGCCCACCACAATAGCTAATTTGTTAAAATTGCATTCAAATACTTTTGTAGTTTTTGGAAAGAATTAAGCATCTTGTTTAAATCCTTAAAAGACCTCAGTAGGAAAAATAACGCTTTGAGCTTTTTAAAGTTATCCCGTCTATTTTCTCAGTAAATGACTAATACTCCTGTTACTTTAATGCCACCTCCAAATCGTGGTTTTCTAAACAAAAATAGAGAGATTGCTGGAAAAGCTTAGCATTTTCATATTGAAAAGTTACGGCTATATACTTAACTTCTTCAACCAGTACACCATGTTATCAGTGTTAACATTATCAGTGGTGTTAAGGAAATAGCCGGATCTCATAGAACATAGAACATTACAGCGCAGTACAGGCCCTTCGGCCCTCGATGTTGTGCCGACCTGTGAAACCAATCTGAAGCCCATCTAACCTAAACTATTCTCTTCTAGTCATGGGACACTGTTGATAACAGCCTTAGATTATTTAGGCTTTGAGATTTTGACTCAAAGCAACACATTATTTTGACTTGCGAGCAACGTTGTTTGCTCACAATAACAACCATAATAAGTCAAGTGCTTATTAGAACTGTTCAGTACAGATTAGTCTAAAATCAACAAGAGGGTCAGACCTTTAAGTTTTCCGTGGAGAGGTTATCAAATTCATTTTTTAGCAAATGGTTTTTCTCCTGTCAAAAAATGAATACAATGGGCCATCGTTTCAATAACATTTGAAGAGATTTAATACAAGGGAACAAACATGGATTTATTAAACAATAACAATTATACACACATGTTTAATGGATAGAAGAGTGTCTACTTTGTGATTCTAATAAATTTTCTTGATCATCATCTATTACCTGTGGGGTTTGGCTGATTTCTCAGCTTTATCTGAGTACGGGATGATGTACTCAGAGATCATCTCCGGCTTCTGCAGCAGAATGCCCAGTTTCGTTTTTATTTCTTTGGCCCTGTAAGATAAAGCAGAAAAATGAATGTTGTTGGTTGTTTACTTCATGAAAGATTAGATTTCCAAATATAATAAGTCAAACAGTTGGCGGATTGAAGTTTGGACAGTTGTCTCCTAGCATGACTAAACTGAGACTATTTTGATGTTTATCTGGCCCTTCAACTCCCATGAAAATGTCATTCTTTCTACGAATTGAATCATCTCAAATCAATTTAGATGTCTACATTTGTTTACCATAAAGCCTTATTTATAACCTCACAAACTTAAAATCTGGCTATAAAACAAGGAAAAGCACTGAAAGAGTTAAAAGTCACTATTCACTGGCAAAAGATGGAAAGTGGAGTTCCACAAGGAGCATTGCTGGACCACTGTTCTTTGTCATTTATATTGCTTTGGACTCAAGCAAAAGTACAAAATTTATGTTTGCAGAGGACACTAATTTAGGGGAATGCAGTTAATACTTAGGAAGAAGTACAAGAAGAAACTAGTAAACTTGCAATGTGGGAATGTAAATAGCTATAGGTGTGAGGGTGGAAAAGCACAGCAGATCAGACAGCATCAGAGGAGCAGGAAAGTAAACGTTTTGGGTTTCGACCTATAAACACTAAAGAATTGTGATGCAGTGCATAATGATAGGAGGGACAAGATATCCTCATATTCCTTTGAATAAGAAGAATCTTTTGTGGTAAGGGAAGTAGGACTGGAGAAAGCTTCTGTGGAGCATTAACAGATATACTGGCAGAGACCGTTTGGGTCAAATGATCTGTTTTTTCTTAAGCTCTTTTTTAAAATGAGCCTGGTGTTGGGTATGTCAAAAGATGTATGTCAGTTCTTTGATTTATTGAGTTACATTACTGCCTTGAAATCAGTACAGGTAACATCTACAGACATGACTTTTTACATGGGTATGAAACTCCAGTTATTTAGCAGAATCGCCTCCCTCATTTCTTTGTTTTTAGGTTATAAGTCGTCGACTGGACTGAAATCTAGTGAACACCTTCATGGAGAAGGGGATTGTGGCCAATTTCACAAGAAAGGAGATTTTTATCATATCACACTGCTGCCCGAGATGACGCAGTTTATTGAAACCAGATATTAAATGTATGTTCTTTATTACAGGCCAGAAGGAAAACAATTCCAAACTATTGATGGCATTGTAGTGAAGAGTGGCAATAATACTGAGAGCATATTTTATCTTCTTGGAGTCATATCTTTCTGACTGAGAATAATATTTTCCTTGGCAGTAAGAGTCATAATACTTACATGCACGTGAGGGTCATTTTATGCAATGATTATGAAATTCATTTAATGTCACTGTTACTGATGACTGCTATTGGCAAATAAACTACAATTGAACTGATGGGAAATCTCCCATAAACTCCAGATGTAACATATATGTCCCAAACTCTTTAAGAGGAAACTAGATAAATGTGAGCAAGTTAAAAGAATACAGGGGTATGTTGGTTGGTTCAGATGAAGGAGAGTGGGATGAGGTTCATCAGGGGCATAAACATCGCAGTGAAGTTGTTGGGCTAAATTTCTTGCTTCTTTGCTGTATGTGAGATGCTAATAACACAAAGATAAGTGCTTCCAGTTTAGGACAAACAAATGAAACAAATTTTAACAACACTTGGAAGAGTAGCAACCTCTCTAACAGCTTAGTGATTAGCAAATGGTGCACTCCAGTTATAACCGTCCAATTCTGTACTACAGCCTTTTAACAGCTGTAACGCCTGTGGCGATCTTTGCTGTTTGTCAGCCACTATTAAACAGTGTGCAATCAACAATTTCTGAACCAAAGCAGATGACTGAAGTTGCTGGAAATTTGAAATAAAATCAAAAATGCTGGAAAAACTCAGCAGGTCAGGCAGCAGCTAAAGAAAAAGAAACAGAGTTAATGCTTCTGGTCGATGATCTTCCATTGCATCTCTATTTCTTGCTGCTCAGATGTTGCCTGATCCATTGCATGATTTCCAGCATGCTCCTGTTTTTTGGATTTCAGCTTTCCATAACCAGCTCAGAACTGCTGCAGAGCAAAAACTTATCTCTAGCCAATGAATTGGGCTGTTAAAACAAAAGTTCCCACTGCTTCTGAGACTCAAGTCGAGATTTTGATGTTAATTCAGGAAGGATTTTAACATAAACTGAGTGTACAACATCCAAATATGGAGGTATTTTAATCCTGTGCTAGATTAATATATACAATGGTCTTTACTATCAGAGTTAAAGTATAAACTTCTTTTTTAATGCATTCAGAAAAATAATGAGCCCTTCGCAATTAATCCCTAGAATAGAAAGGAACGCGAATACAAAAGCATGATTTATCACCTTGAACTGCTGTTCGTCATGATAAAAATTTCCACATTGTTCTTCGTGCAAGCAACAATGGTACTGCTCTCATATATACCTCTAGAGACCAGTTCATTGACAATACATGGGTTTGGGTGCAAGAGGAACTTGGAAATCTAATTCAATAATTATAATACATATTTCAGACAGGAATAGATTTGTCTGCCTCAAAAGGGCAGTGGACACAGGGTCATTGAATACTTTTAAAGCAGAGTTAGATAGATTCTTGTTTGGAAAGGGAATAAAAAGATGATTGGAGGTAGATGCGAACATGGAACTTGCAACACAAACAGATAAATCAGGATCTTATTGAATGGCGGAGCAGGCTTGAAGGGCTGAATGACCTACTTCTGCTCCTAAAGCTTATGTTTGTAATATTCTGCAACCAGGAATTACCTGTCTTCCAAATGGATTTTAACCTGCAGCTCATCTTTATTTACCTGTGATCAACAAACAGTGAATATTACAGGAAGTAACACTCTACTTGCAAAACTTTAGATTATTTTAAATGTCCGAACTGTCAGCCTCTATGTCTATGGCCATGCAACCTCCCCATCTGGATGAGCAGAAAGATACAGCACATGAGGCCCCTTTTTGACAGGCTGAATAATCAAAATTACTTCTTGATTGTCATTGGAATTGTAGTAAAAGGTGACACGGTTTGCCAAAGTCAGTAATATTTTTAATGCCTGCTATTTGTCAATGTTGGCAAAGTTTCTACTCTGCTAGAAAAGATGTGTGTCTTGAGGGACTTTTGCCTATTTCCTACAGACGAATGCAGACACCGCCTGAGCATCCAGTATAATATACAAGTTTGATATATTGACTGTGTGAGGGATTCTCCAGAGCATGGAACGTAAAGGCATGAAAAATGTAGCAAAGGTATGTATGCACAGCTGGATCCTGACAAATACATGACAAGCTTAGCAGGATGCTTTATACACTCGCTTCATTATATTTTGTCAATTGGTTGTAAAAAAGTTATATACAAATATCCCTCCATGAAGTTAATAGCATGAAAATTACCACTGGGAAATATGCTGTCTGGCCCAACATGCTTGTGCTGGAGCTAGCCTGCATTCAAGAGATACTCTTAATGGTGGTCTTTATCTTGTGCACTTTCATAGTTCCATGGGCTGTATTCTATAGGGAAGGTGCAAGGTTGACTGCAAACTGATACATCCCATCCTCCTGGTTATAGCACATTGTGAATGGGCTACTGTAGGGATGTGGGATGTCTATCCCTCAGTAGGAGGGGGTCCTACTTTTGGCAGTTGCTGCCAAACTGATTGGTGCAGTCAATGGGCTTGTTAAATATTTACTTATTGCAGATTTTGGCATGCACTCTCCCACTCCCCATCTAGTGTATTGTACGGGCCGGGCAGCTCATGGATGGGTGGGGCGGGGTTGAGCTAACCACCCTTCTTAACCCTCCGTCCACTCATCCACTGAATAAACGTCATGCTGGGTCTTGTAAAATCAAGCCTCATATCCCTTCCTTGCTGCTACCTTCAACCGGCTGTCTAATTTACTTTTAAATGTTGACTTTTCAAAGTCATCCTAATGCTCAGATGAATTCTGGGTGCTGGACCCCTGCCTCAATTGCATTGCTCACACCTTGCCAATTTGAAATACCAGTGCCCTAATTAGAGTCCACTCAGTGGCACTAAGTGTAGCCAGGAGGTGGGGAGCAGCCCACCTTCTTGGTGCCAGTGGAAGAGGAGAACTGCAGGCATGGCAGGTCCTGGAACTACTTTGCTGAGGAAACCAGGCAGATCCTTGGACGACTAGCAGCATTAAGGCATGGGATAGACAAAATGGCCAAGTTGAAGTAGTGAGCACAATCCAGCACTGGGCGATTGAAGACAAGATCATTTTAAAAATTAGAGAAAAAAAAAAATTTCTCCCCACAGAAAACCTAAGAGCTGTGCACCAATGCAATCAGACTTTCTGAATTCTCCCTTTTTTTTAAACAGATGTTGTGAATAAAATATATTTCTGTGATGTTCACAAGACCTTTCTGTTAAGGATGAAGTTATCACATGTAAGCATATTCAACAGACTATTGAAACTCAATGCCTTTTCAAGAACGGCATACAAAGGGTCATTTGAATTGAATGGAAATTCAATTAAGAAAATTTAACTATCTCAAAAATAGTATGGATAGTAGACTACAGGATGTATAGGCCAACGCAGTACCTATTTTGAAAGGAAGACTTTGGGCTTGTGGTAGGTTAGATAGTAAAGACAGATACATTTTTGCCTGCTTTGAAAAATAATAGAAGATGCTGTTCAAACACAGACATGATGTGGAGGTGCTGGTGTTGGACTTGAGTGAGCAAAGTCAGAAATCACACGACACCAGGTTACAGTCCCACAGGTTTATTTCAAGTCACGATCCTGAGAGAATTAAAGGTTTTATCAGTATAAAGAAGAGGTGACATTTTACATCAGACAATGTATTTTTACACTGATAAAAACTTTAGTTCTCTCAGGACCATGACTTGAAAGGAATTCGGGGATTTACATATACGTATTAATCAATCAAATCCTTCTAACTGATTAAAGAGTTAACAGCATCTTAGGTTTGTTTAGTATATCCTCATCAATGGTGTGAACCTTTGATCTCACTAACACCTGAAGAAGGACTAA